ATAAAAAAAGTAGACAATTTTTTAAGTGAAATCTAATTGAAAATACTGTTATGTTAAAAAATTAAAAATCCTTATTCCAAAATGAAAATTAGAAAGACTTGAAACTAATAATTAGCTCAATTTTTGTATGGAAGAGATTCATAAAAGCTTCTGTAATCTTCTGGTATAAGTTTTTTTAGCTCTTGAAGGTGTTCAAATTTACTTTTTTCAATTGAGAAGGGTCGGTCATATAACTTCCGCCTAATATCGCTGAGGTTTACTGAACGTCGTGGACGGCATGGTAATGGTGCCCAATCGTCGTTAAATGCAAGTTTATAATTGATTATCTTATCCGGGGTATACTGGAGGGCCACGAGGTCATTAACACATGGATCTCTTGCTTTATACCCTAGTCGAAAACTGGTATATTAATCAGAATTAAACTCTTCAAAGTCGTTGTAGTTCAAATAATAAGTTTTGAATGGCTGGTCAGGTGATTGTAAAATTGGAATGTAGTCTGCAGGAAGGAACACTTGCTTTCGATGCTTCAGCTTAATTTCAATTGCGGAATGGCATCCATCTATTTCCATGTGGGTTCGGCCCACCTCAAGATACTTTTGCTCAATAATTAACCCGCACTTCATGCTCAAGTCTAATAGGGCACTAGACAGTTTGGTATTCCTATTTTGATAAACACACCCATCACTCCATATAACTACTTTTTGTGGAATCGGCTTGGCCTGGGCTAATTAATTTGAGATGAACATAGTTGCTATAGAAGCAAAGACATCACTATCCAATCCACCATTTCCTTCGTGCCAAACATAGAACGAAACATCTTTTGATGACAAATTATAATGAACCTGATTGTGGACTTTTAATTTAGTTTTATAATAATTTTCCGTCGCATTTAAACGTGGTGCCAGAAGCACAGCTGGTAGGTCAACTGTACTACTATTTTTAACAGCTTTACTTTTGTCAGCCTCTTTTTCGGTGATTGCTTCTTGTTTTTTTTTAATATGCTTTGCATAAGATTCTTCATCTATACTTCCATTTTTATGCATGGTAGATTCGTTGCATTGATCTTTTTTTGGCGTGTAAAATGCCAAGCTCATCTTGCCCATAATTTTTTTTAACGTTATTCTCGATACTTTAGTTTTTCCTAAAGACTCAAAAATTGCGATATATTTTCGATAAGTCTCTCATACTACCCCAGACTGGTTCTAGGTACAGTTTATCAGAAGAGGTGCGGCAGTAATGTGATTCAACCTTTCCCAAAGAGTTCAGCCTCTCCTGTAATTCTGTTATTGCGTTTCCTGAGGCATAATATTTTCCATAAAAGTGCTTGCCTGAGAGCTAGAGGTTTCAGGCGGTTTCTCCCAATCACGTAATGGTCTTTCCCCAATGCTTATTGTGTGCATGAACATTTGTTTATAAACTTGTTTCTTAACTTTGCCCCTATTCCCATCACTCACTGAAAACTAAAAGCGGAAGGTCGTTTTTTTCTCGTGACATCAATGCTGTCAACTCCCTTGTATTTTGACTCAGAATACAGTACATTGTCTTTTATATAAGCTTTTTAGAGTCCCAGTTGGGAAAAGCACAGAATTCTGAGAAAAGACGATTGCGTTCTTCATCGACGATTTGGTCACAAAAAAAAAACTTTGTCTTGGCCCCCCTTTTTTTATGCGAGTGTGCCCTTTACAACGACAACCAATTTTATTTTCATCTTTTTGTTTGTTTTGTTTATATTTGTCAGAGGCGTCCTTTTTGAAACCAACATGGGACTTGCCAAATAAGCGCATATTTGCATTCTTTTGTTTTGTATACTCGCTGCCGTTCCTCCTTCCCCTGCGTTTTTTCCTTTTTCTAATTGTTTCTTCAGTATCTGATTGTTCATTATTTTCAGCTTGGAGGATGCCGGCTTCTTGTATTGAATCATCCGATTCAATGGATGCAGTTGAATTTTTACTAGAAGGTCTGTACTGTTCATCAGAATCGCTGTTGAAATCAGAGTTGCTGGAAACTACTGAAGAAATTTCATGATTTGGTACCTTCAATTCTAGGTACTGCAATGCTTCAACATTCTCATTAAATGCTGGTGGTTGATCTCCTGTTCTATGTATTGCCATAGGTATTGCCAAAAATTCGTGAAAGTGATAAAGTAAAATGATATTGAGTATAAAATTACTCACTTTTAATGTATTTATTGAAGAATTACTATGAGTTATAAATAAACAATGTCAACAAAACTTGAAATGTATTGACATACCACACCTTGCACTGACCAAAATGAAAGAAAACAAATAAAACTCATCACTCTCTGTGACATACGACTCTATTTGTTGTGACCAAACATCAAGCAGATGTCAGATAGACTTATTGCAAGGGGAGGATTCTCAGCATTTTAATTGGTTTACTGAGTTACTACCTATTGCATGTTGTGCAGATCAACAAAGTTGGCCATAGTGGTGCAATAAGAAAAAAATTGATTTTTTTAACATACGACATATATTGCGGTTTCTATGACGATATATACTATACATTCCACTGTCCAAAAAAGATCAGTGTCACATACTGAAAGGTCTCAGAGTAATATCATTACTGACTGAAAAGCTAAAAAAAAATCATTAATTTTTCATTCGGGTATGTTTGACAAAATTGTATTATTGACAGTCAAATTTTACCTGTTTGAATCATTTTATAATCATTTCCTTACGAAAGTTTCCCTTTGACCTTGAGGTTTCACAATTAACGAAATTCTTGAGAATAGTTGTTGATTATAAACTAACTTGGGAGGCACACATATTATTCAAAAGTTGGTTCTGCGTGTTATACAGTTCAAAATCTAAGAGATAGTGTTTCCAAAAGACATCTTGAAACGCATCTATCATGAATTCGTACATTAAGGCTACAGTATGCATGAAATTCTGAGGTAATTTAACTCCGCACACACTGATCGGTTATACACCTTCAAAAAAGGGTTATTTGTTTCATGGATAGAGAACCCTTCCTAGATCCGTGTAAACTACTTTTTGAAAAAATACAACATTCTTCTATTGTCATCACAATACATAACTTATTTCGATATACCAGGAAAAACAGCAGTCACTTGCAAAAACTGGTATTTATAACTACTCCATGAGAAGGAAAGATATAGAACACCAACCGTTCCTTCGCTTAAGTGTGGCTCAAAATTCTACGAATTTCGACATTTCAGATATAAAAACGGAAAGATAAAACATGAATGTTCTCCAGATCTGTTTAAATATAAAATGGTGTAAATCTAAACGGTTTAAAAACAAACCAAACGAATCTTTGTTCACACATCTAACATGAAAACATTTGAATACAAATATTCTCTTATTTTGTTTAAATATTCTGCGGATGGCTTCATTCCGCACGAACCAAGGAGCATTCACAATCATCCTTATTAGCTTATTTTGCAATCTCTCCAAAATGGAGATATATTTGACGGAGCCGTTTGTCCTCAGACGCCTGAAGCATACATGATGACAGGCTTAAATATCTCGTTTTGTAGATCGTAATTTTGTTTTTAAGGCTTAATTTAGAGCGTCTGTTGATCAGAGGGTACAGACCACCTATCCGACCCTCGATTTTTGCCTTCGCGGTTGTGATGTACGGGTTCCAGGAGAGCCTACGGTCTATTAGAAGACCGAGGTACTTTTCCCGCGCTTGCGAGTCGATCTCCCTTCCAAATATTCTCACTTTTCTGGCCGGAGAAGATAGCAATCTTCCCATGGTTATCGCCTGGCTCTTTTCCGGATTCACTCGGATTAGGTCGTGTTTGTTATAGTAATATGAAAAATTTTTCTTTTTGTTTGTCTAATATGTTTTTTTAGTTAGTTAATCATAATAATCAATTTTGATTTCCGCGATTCTTCTTTCTTTTTAATGGAATTCGTCTCGAAACTTAATAAGTCTAGCAATACTACTATCAAAGCAAACTGGATTTTTTTTGTAGTCGAATAATTTGTTCATACGTCGATTTGTGAGGGGCATTAAGTATCCTCTCGTGAATTTCATTTGGATCTTCATATTCAGGTACAGTTTTCGAATGATTGATTATTTAATTGTGCTGTGAGTGGACGTCAAAAAAGGAAAATAGGTCTATCAAAAAAAATGATGTCATCCTTCTTTACTTTTTTGGCATCTACTCACAGCACAAAATAAAATAAGTATGTATAACAAATTGGCAGATGAATACTTACTTTTTCCGACACTGGCAGACACTTAATCGATTCACTTTACTTCAAATTTTCTTTTCGGAAACAACAAATTAACGTTTATCCTTGGCATTCATATTTAATATTTATAATCAAACATGTTCACACTAAATTACAAGCATACACAAGTTTTATTTCGTTTTCTTGGTGCGTCTGAATAAGCGTTGCATTCGGCGGCGCTTTTCGAGTATCGACACGTTATACTGAAATAGAAATTTGCAAATTTTTCCATTCAACGGCAGTCCCTGATCTTCTTAAAATATTACTCCACTATGGTTAAGAACACCCAAGGACACGATACCCAATGAAGCACAGGGCATATACGAAATACCATGCTCAAACTGCCCCAGAACTTACATCGGTCAGACCAATAGAAGAATTTCCAACAGATCCTATGAACATGAACTAGCGGTTTGCAAATCAGATCCAGCATCATCTCTCTTCAAACACCACCAGGAAACAGGCTACACAATAAGCTTCGAAAACACCAAGACCATTGCTACGGTAAAAAATCTTCAGACCAGGATAATTTGGGAAGCAATAGAAATTGAAAAACGTCCCAACTACCTTAACAAGCGAGATGATTCGCAGAAACTACCATAAACATGGAGAACATTGATTGCACGCAAGATACCTGAAAATAACTCAGGTACACGGTCAGGTAAACCAGATACCTGCTACAATAACATGCAAAATGATAGGCTCGGATAGGTTTCCGTGGTCAGTTGTAACTGAGAGATATGTATTCACTGGGTAGGGAAAATAGACCGGAGGTAGAACTTTAAGGAAGTAAAATTTATTGCAGTAATTTTTATATTGTTTACAGACAGATCAAGTACTCATACAACAAAATAATTCTGAAAAAAAAAAGTGAAATAATGTTTATATGCGTTACAGGGTGTGCCTAACAGATTTTAGGGACACCCTGTATATTTTTGCAATTGGATGATTAGTGTTGCACAAGAAATACAATACTGTAAAGAAGAGTCACTTGTTCATCATTAACACATTATTATTGGGAAACAACAAGTTACTAGTGTTGAGAAATGACAGTTTCTGCAACTTTGTGTTGTTCAACCCAAATGAAACAAATGCAAAAATATGCATGGTGTCCCGAATGAATAGTCGAATGTATTATTGAAAATGCTTCGTATTTTCACAATTTTGGAAATACAAATAATAATATACCCGATTATTTGATGAACCAAATCAATCAGGCAAATGAAAAAATATACAGAGTGCCTATTAAATTAGGTTGACAAATATTTGGACACCCTGTATATTTTTGCATTTGTATGATTGATATGGTACATCGAATGATAGGGTATTCAGAATGAATATTTTAGTGTATAAAACAATATGGGTTCTCAAACAGTTCCATTACTTTCTCAATAATCTAAATTTTCGGAGAACAGTAGACTTCTCAGACGATTATTTTTAGATATCTTTTTGAGAAAAGCGAATTGACAAAGAGTCATTTCGTGAATTTTAGGATGATCTGGAGCTTTTGAAGACTGGACTGTTGGGGTTAAGTTGGTTTGATCTGTTGTTTAAAGCTGCCTGGGTTAAAGGAACAACAGCACTCAAAATATCGCCCAGTAAACCTAAAAAACAAAAAAAAAATGTCATCTAGGTTAATTGAAGACCTATGAAGATGTATGATGTTATGCTCTATTATTCTACACATTTCCTAATAGTAACTTATGATACTTTAATAAGTCGATCCTGTTTTTGTATCGCGAACGGGTACCAAACAAACCATTTTATGAGTGTTCGGGTCGTTTCTACCTGAAGTGGCGTGCGTTTGGGTATTCAATCAAAAATACTATGTTCAATTATTTATTTATATACAATTAACATTGTAACATAATATAATAACATTTCAGTTAAAATATTTACATAATAATAAATATGTATGCTTATTTATTTCATCGAATGTTATGGTTAATGTTAGGTTCTGCCATTTTTCCCACACACATGTCCTCTTTTTTTATAACATGAAGAAGATTAAAACTAAATCTTCCTCTTTGAAGATGATCACTTGGTGATCGAAACACGTGTTGAGGTGTTAAAATTAACGATTTGGTGTTGGGAAAAAACTCCAGTAATATTCATTACTACACCAAAGGTTCCAAACAGTGCATCATATGTTCAATACAATCTCGGCATTTTTTGGAATCGAATTTTTCTAAGGACTCCTCAAAAAATATTTTGAGATATTTTAATGCAATGAAACCCTTTACTTGAGCCCAAATTAGTTCAATGGAATTAAGTTCGCAATGATGAAGGCATATTAATAATTTGTCGAAATGCGTCAACTTTATGATTAATTTGTGATGTAAAATGATTCCAAAATACTTTGATAGAGAAAGATGGCACTTATTATTCAAACATCCTTCAAAAAACAGAATGTTAATCCTAATGATCTTTATTGAAGGTCTGTGTGATCATAAATGGTTATTAAACAGTAGAAGAGGATGCTGATTTCTTAAACAATATCATTTGGGCAGATGAATCAACATTTAAAAATTGCGAGATATTTGGAGCTACCACTTCATAACAGAATATTTTGTAATTTTCTATTCAACATTTTCCTAGCAAATTGAATTATTGCCTAGCGTGCATATATTTAATAATATAATATTTATACTAGTCAACTAACAATGACTTGTGTCCTGATACATGGTTTATGAAATATATTTTATACAATATTGTAATATATTATTACGTCTATTATTATGCGGATCCATTACAAGATTCGTTCACAATTATCAAATTGTACCTATTCATGCATGTAGTTTGACATAAATGTTATTGAATTTTTTTATACTCTGAAAATTGTTTTACTACCACAACAACACAACAGCAAAAAAACTATTTCTTCGGGTTCATAAGAATTCTTGCAAATAAGGATACATTTCTTCAACAATTTCGTTATTTAAAAACAAATCTATACTTAGATGCTTTTTATAACACAAGTTCCTACATGTAAGTTATTATTTGATAATGTGATAACTTACAAATCTTCAAACTCATAAATCAAGATTGTAAGTTCGGCCGATATCCTACAGTGCCGGTAACGTATGACTAGACACACTAAGGAAGATTTCGGATATTAAGCTGGCAGGGCAGAGATTTGGCAAATGCAATTGAAATTAAATTTCACTACGTTTCATTGAATGTTTCTCAAGAACATTTATATGATTTCAATGTTTTAAAGCAGCCATGATTTTTATCTCAACATAATTGACGTTTTTGCTGGATGCCAGAGATATGTAAGGATATGCAAAAAGGAAATGCCGGAAGCTTATGAAAAACTAATTTTTTACCTAGCCAATTGCTCGGTCTGTCAGAATGTCCCCTGCTCTTCCAGAAAGACCGGTGATTCGGATTCAATTGATTTGCCCTGTTGTTATCCATAGCACTAGTTTCTCTCTCCAAGGTCACGACAAGCCAATGTCGTCAGACTGCCATCACCATCCCCACACTGAAACAGGCAACGAATAATGCTCTTGTACAACATGTTGAACATTTTATAGGTAAATTCCAGGGATTCCCCGAATTACCTTTGAGGCGACTATGTCGCTATTGTTGATCGACATCGAAAACCTTGCTACGAATAGGTATTGGATAGCAGTCCTAAAAATCACTAGGTATATTCACGTCTGGGCTAAATATTTGAGTATTAACGGTAACTGCTGGCGTTGAGGGTTTTTACATGTATAACTCTGCAGGTTACATGTACGAGTATTCTCGATAAAATGGGGATCTATAAAGTTATCATGAAATAGCATAACCGTTCACAATGACATATTAAGGTGAATATTATAGAAACAATTCATGTACCTACCTAACTACATGATATAAAATGAAACCGGCTGAAATGAAATGATATTTGTCGCTGGTGATTGTTTCGAATCAGGTTCTACATTACAATGAATCATATCTTTTTTTATACAATTTTCGAGTAACACAAAAATCTGTTTGAAATATGCTTTTTCCGGTTTTTATTTATTTCCTGGGGAGAGTATATGGCCTGAGAATTTATAATATATTTTCTCACAAACAAACCAAAAGTTAAATGTACTTATGAAAAAAATATTATAGGTAGCTATACTTTGAATATATATTACGAGTATATCTAGCACCAGAGCCGGATTTGGAAGTCTGGAAGCTCTGGGGCAACGAAAAATTGGAGGCCCCCTATTTCAACAAAAACTGTAGTTGTTTGTTGAAGTCTCAGAGTAACAAAAGACAATAGAGATGCCTTTTCCATCCTTACATTGAAGGCAGCNATAACTAACTAGTATACAAACTGAACATTGAGCAGAAAGCTTTTTAATCTGTTGATCACAGAATGAGTATGACCTATGGCACACATATGAAAACATGTTTTTCATTTTTGAATACAGATTTTTTTCATTTACATTAATGATTTTTCGTAATTGTAGAATTCGTCAGCATGAATTATTGGAAAAAACATAATGTCGGTCCACAAAGACCCCTAGATACCAATTTTGAATGAAATCAGATAAAAATATCAAACCTCTATCGTAATTATAAATATTCATGATTTCATCGAAAATTCTTTATATCGGACCTCACAAACCGTATCGCTTGTTCATCAAATCTGAGAATATATCACAAATATCTTTATCTGATTTTATGAAGCAAAGTTCGTTACTTTTGAAATTAACATTTATCATTGTTATGAATTAGTTCATTTGAAATAATTTAATTTTAACCCAGTAAACCACGCGCTGTATTATAAAGCCATACATATATAAAAATCTAGTAGGTGGTAGAAAAACTGGACTCATTTCCATAATCATTAATAATAAATCAGATTTCCTAAAGGAACTATTTGAACCGAATACATTTTCACCTGAAATGATTTGTTTTATAATTATATAATATCCCTCCGATTATCAACTAAACCAACCGCCACTGTTTCATGGTCTAACTTACTTCAAATGTAAACAAACTCTCCAAAACCTTTCATTACCCGCCACCCCCCTCGCCCATAAGTTGTTCAGAAAAGGATAGTCCGATACCCGTTTCAAAATACATATATTGTATTGGTATAGGCATGACAACTCGATGTCTTATTATTACCCTGAGGTTGAAGTCAAATACAATTTATTAAAACCAAACTACCGCGTTAACGAATGGGATTTTGCGAACTTTTATTCTTTAGAACTTCTCGTTTGCATCGGTCGCACAGCTGATGTCACCGCCCAAGCGAAGCAGAAAGGATCCTCATTCCACATATTAACTACTACCCTCTTCAAAGCGATGAATTCTGGAAGTTTGATGTAGGAGGNCTATGACGATATATACTATACATTCCACTGTCCAAAAAAGATCAGTGTCACATACTGAAAGGTCTCAGAGTAATATCATTACTGACTGAAAAACTAAAGAAAAATCATTAATTTTTCATTCGGGTATGTTAGACAAAATTGTATTATTGACAGTCAAATTTTACCTGTTTAAATCATTTTATGAACATGAAATCTGTATTAAAAGTTTCCTCACGAAAGTTTCCCTTTGACCTTGAGGTTTCACAATTAACGAAATTCTTGAGAATAGTTGTTGATTATAAACTAACTTGGGAGGCACACATATTATTCAAAAGTTGGTTCTGCGTGTTATACAGTTCAAAATCTAAGAGATAGTGTTTCCAAAAGACATCTTGAAACGCATCTATCATGAATTCGTACATTAAGGCTACAGTATGCATGAAATTCTGGTGTAATTCAACTCCGCACACACTGATCGGTTATACACCTTCTGTAGTAAGTAGTAGTTAAGATGTATTAGTAGTCACTGCTGTTTGTGACAGCTGGCTTGAAGATACAGAAAGTGACCTACATTACCGGCACCAGCATGGTGACGAATTCACATGGTTGTAACTGACTCTTTAATAAATTAGTTAAACAATAAATGAGGAATCTGTTTGAGTGTGAATATTTTGTTTGGCATAATACTACACCTTCAAAAAAGGGTTATTTGTTTCATGGATAGAGAACCCTTTCCAGATCCGTGTAAACTACTTTTTGAAGAAATACAACATTCTTCTATTGTCATCACAATACATAACTTATTTCGATATACCTACCAGGAATAAACAGCAGCCACTTGCAAAAACTGGTATTCATAACTACTCCATGAGAAGGAAAGATATAGAACACCAACCGTTCCTTCGCTTAAGTGTGGCTGAAAATTCTACGAATTTCGACATTTTAGATATAAAAACGGAAAGATAAAACATGAATGTTCTCCAGATCTGTTTAAATATAAAATGGTGTAAATCTTAACGGTTTAATAACAAACCAAATGAATCTTTGTTCACACATCTAACATGAAAACATTTGAATACAAATATTCTCTTATTTTGTTTAAATATGAAAACAATGAAGCCGAACTCGTTTTTCTCTTAGTATAAATCAACTATGTTGCTGGGACAGTAGTATAGTAGCCAATATTCATTGAACGCCTGACAAATTTTGTTTTGATTTTCAATTTTACTTTCTCCTATGGATATATATATATATATA